CCTGGCACACCCCTGCCTGATTCCCACAGCTGAGGACAGTCTTCGTTGGGTGGAGAATGGCCGGGCCCTGACCGCCTGGCACACCCCTGCCTGATCCCCACAGCTAAAGGCAGGTCGCGCGTCCCATAAGGGCAGTGGACTTGGGCTCTTGAGGTGCACGAGTCTGTAGAATACTGGAAAAAGCAGGATGCTGCAGGGAAACGGTCAGCGAAGTCGTGTGGCCTCAGGACCACCTCCTCGTGCTTTCGGAATCTGTGTCCTGACACAGGCTCTGCCCAGAGCGGGTGACATAGGGCCTCTCTGCAGTGGTAGAGTGGGAGACACACAGAACTGAAGACATGGGGCCAGTTCTGGCGCTGCAGCCTCGGGGAGGTTCTGGAAAGCAGTTTAACCCTCTGTCCTGCAATTTCATTTATAAATGGTAGAAATTGCACGTAACTCACTGGCCAAGCATGGTGTAGTGTGTGGAAGGGTGCACATAGGAGACAGAATATGTGAGAACACTGCCCTTGTTGATAAGCTCCTGGTGACTGGCCAGGCGAGTTCTGAACACCCTGGCCTGTGTAAGATGGGTGTAAAGCAGAAATAAATTATGCTAAAAGGTGACTGAGTAAGGCAGAGAACGCCACTCAAGGATAGAAGAGTCAAGGAGGAAAACATGAATAACCTGAGTGAAACTGAGTGACCTGAAGGCTGGGAAGTGAGGTAGCCTGGGCTGGTGGACTTCGACCCCGGGAGACCTGGAGGACAGAGGAACAAGTGTGGGTGCTGCGTCTGGGAGGAAGGGGTGAAGTGTGGGCAGAGGGGCCAGCACGGATGGATGGCTTTCCAGCAGTGGTTTGCGCCCCGCCCCTCATCAAGGACATATCACGTGCCATCCCTCCCATCACAGAACTGCCCATGGAGCCCCAGCGGGCTCAGTGAGAGCAGCTAGAAACCAGTTTGAGTCCCACCTGGGGATACTGTGCAGGTACATCAGCAGACAGGTCAGTTCTGCACTGCAGGTGAGCTCGCTGGTCCACAGCGGGCCTCCCATGCACACCTGCACCACTGCCCGGCCACCACGGTCCCGGGTCCCTGTGGGGACAGAGGGCATCTTGAGTGTGGGTGTGGTCCAGAACAGGGGATCCAAGTAGCACTATGTGGCTTACCTGGGAGGGTCACAGCCCCTGACTGCAGCAGCACCTGGCTGGGTGCCCTGAGCTCAGGGTCTCTGGGACACAGCTTGGGCTTCTGGTCAGAGAAGGCACTTGGCCCCTGTCCTCGGGAGGTGGTGCTGTCCTCACTGATGCCAGTTGAGGCTAGAACACCTACAAGGGGAGTGTGGTAGAAAGGGTTTCTCGTGGTGCAAAGCAGCCTCTCAGCTCAACACCAAGACATGCATGGTAATGAGGAGTATCGGGAAAACCCAGACATGACCACCTGGCACTGCTGTGGCCCTGGGAAAGGGGCTGGGCTCTGAAACCACTTTCTCTTTGCCATGTGGAGGGGTGGCCACTGGACTGGAGACTCCTGGCACCTACCTTCCACCTCCTGGGGCTTTGGCGGTCCCTCACCACAGGTCTGAGGTCCATTGCTCCTGTCTTTGTAGACTCACCTCCAGAGGGGCCCTCACAGGGGACGCCATCCTCCTCTCCAGATTCCTGTTGGGCCTCAGGCTCTCTGCTGCGTGAGTTCTTGGGGGCTTTGTCCCAGGATCTCAACCTCCTGGTCACCATCCTCACCCTGTCTGTGGGCAGGTGGCTCTCCCAGGGGGCCTGATGGTCAGCGAAGTCCCTCGGCCCTGGACTGGCAGCTGCCCTGGGCCTGCTACCCTGGGCCAACTGTCCGGCTGCAGCATCCCCAGTCTTATCCAGCAGGGAGTCCTCAGAGCTGCAGCCCAGAGGTACAGGGTTTCTAAGAGCTTCCACATAAGACATCCGGAACCAGCGGCCCCCGGGGCAAGGGCTGGACCGATTAGGATAGACAGCCTCAGGGCTGCCCCTTCCCGAGGACCCTAGCCCTGCCTCTGGGCCTTCCAGTTCTCCATCTGAGCTGCCACAGGGGGCTGATGGGACTCCTAGGATCAAGGAGTGGGGGTCCGCTGCAACCAGGGCTTCCTGCGTGTGGCAGAGTGGTGGCTGGCCAGGCTGGGGCTGGCCCTGCAGGGCAGGCGGAGGGTCTGTGATGCTGCGCCATGCAACCCGGTGGATGGCAGTGCCGGTGGTCAGCAGGCAGCTCTGTAGTGGGGCTCTTCTCCTCTGGGCACTCACCCCTTCCAGAAATCCTCCTGTGAAGACCTGGCCATACATAGCCTCAGGGACAGTGATGTGCTCTGTGTCCCGTCCTCGCTGGGACAGGCAGGTCAGGACCAGCCTGGCCAAGTGCTGGCCTCCTGCTGCCACATGTAGGTAGAAGTCACCAGGCCTGAGCCGGACTCTATGGAGGGCTACCAGCTGCACCACCACCTTTCCGTGGACACACAGTGGCCAGCCCTCTGGGAGGGCTCTGCAGGTGGGGTGCTGGGCCTGTGAGAGGACAGAGATGTGAGGTCAGCAGGCCCAGACCCGTCCTGGAGCTACCATAATGCACAAGACAACTCTCAGATGCAGAGGCTGCAGGTCCAATGGACATGTCCTGCTCTGAGGTCAAAGGAGTAATGTTAACACTAGGACTTTGTTTAAATATGTCCACCTCTGTGGGGCAAGGGTGAGGAGTCACCATGGTGTGCTCCAAGGTGCGCTCTTATCATGGCCCTGCTTCCATAGCCAGAGAAGCTCACAGCATGCTTCCACAGGACAGACAAGACCCAGATCCCAATGTGGCTTCCAGATGGTCCTTCATTCTCAGCCGGACCACACTGGCCTGTGGCTGGTCTGAAAGGGAGGAATGAAATCTACTTCCTCGAGGACCAATGTGCCCCACTGAGTGTGAGTGAGTGTGTGCATGCATGCTCACACGTGCCTGTGTATATGTACTGTGAGTGTGTGCATGTGAGTGTGCACACGAATGTGTATATGCGCACATGTGTGCACACACACTTATGAATGTGCGTGCATATGTGTGGGTATAAATGTGTTTGCACATGCATACATGTGTGCATACGTGTGTGTACACGTGTGTGCTGACATGTATGTGTGTGTGGATACGTGTGTGCTTGTGTATACACCTTGTGTGCAGCATATTTGCTCATGTGTTCATATGTGCACACGTGTGTGTATGTGTGCATGTATATGTGCACGTGTGTATGTGTGTGCGTGCATGCAACCATGGGGTGTGTACATGTGCCTGGATATGAGGAAAGCTTCTCTCAATTATATTCACATGTGATCAGTCTGAGTTTCAGTTAAATTTTATTTCATGAGCTCTTTTTCTACCTTCTTCAGCAAGTTTAACTGATTTCAGACCTTTTGCTCTCTCTCCTAAAACTATTTTACTTTAAGCATTGTCTTTGCTGTGTGTGAACATTTTTGTGTGTGTTGTGTTTTCATTATTACCCAGTTCTGGCATGAGGTCCCCTCAGTGTCCTCAGGTCCCCGGGGTCCCTGACATTCTCGTGGGTCAGGACTTTCATCATGATCTCGGTCTCTAGCTGTCCCTTGCCTCTGGGCGCCCCTGCCAGAGGCACCTCTCCCCCAGGATAACCCCATGAGCAGCAACCCCTCCCCCAGACTCCTGTGAGCATACCTCCTCCTCCAGGTAACCCTGTGAGTGGCACCCCCTCCCCCGGGTATCCCTGAGTGGTACCCTCCTCCAGTACCCCCATGAGCAGTCCTCCTCCCCCAGGGACCCCTGTGAGAGGCACCCCCTCACCCAGGCACTCTCCTGAGTGGCACCTCCTCCCCAAGGGACCCCCATGAGCGGCACCCCTCCTGAGGTGAGGACACTCACACAGGCCGCCTGTCTCAGATGTTGCAGGGTCCTCCTGGCTGAGATGACAAAGTCTGTGATTTCACTGGGACGCTGCCCCTCAGCCACATTGACCAGCTGCCCAAGAACTGTGGCTGCCGTGGCCTCAAAGGGCAGGTAGAGCTCTGAGAGTATGCTCCGGACATAGGTGACGAAGGGTTCCCTGTCCTGAAACAGAGCAGAGGCACTGAGAGCATATGGGTGGAGACACACTCAGAAAGGGAAGGTACGGAGGGGAGAGGGCATGAGAGCACAGACACATGGACACAGACACACAGAAATAGACAGACATGCAGACAGACACATAGACAGACATAGACGCACACAGAAACGACGTAGACACACACATTGACGGACAGGTGTAGACACACACAGATATGCAGACAGACACACAAAGACCCACAGACATAGATGCACAGATATACATAAACAGACACGTAGACATAGACACAAGAGAAGGGGTGTGGAATGGGACAGAGCACAGGGCAGACACATGGACACACACAGATATACAGACACGGACATACACAAGCAGACAGGCACACAAGCACATACACATGGGGAGGGAGTGTTGAGGGGAAACAGCATGTGGGTGTGGACACACAAAGGGATACACAAAGGAAGGGCATGGAGGGGACACACAGACACCTGGGGAGGGCAGGACGAGAGCATGAGGGTCCAGGTGCACACAGTGCCCAGGGGCAGAGCTGCAGGTTTGCTGAGGGTCATTTCTCACACTGGTGGTAAGGGGGCGGCATCAAGAGGGCCCTACAAGGCGGCTGCATGCCAGCCGTGCTCTGAATCACATGATGGGGGAGGCAAGCCCTCAGGGGAACCATCACTCTGTCCCCACTGGCCTCAGGAACACACTGATAGCTACAGTGAATCCAGTCCATTAACCCTACCCTCTAAGTCCACACTATTACCTCCATTTCTGGATCATCATGGACTATGGCTACCAAGGGAAGGCCAGGAACAGTATAAGGGGCCACACAGGCCACCGTCCCAGCCCCCCCACCTGTCCTCAAGGGCTCAGGGGTCAGACAGTACCCAGGATCACCAGGTCACACTGACCATCTTCTCATTCCTTGCACTGTGGACTATCCTCAAGGGTAAGGGCATCAGGTCATACTGACTGACCACTTCATCACTTATCACTATACACACAGTGGACTGTCCTCTGGGCAGGGAGAACCAGCTGCCCACTGTCACCTTGCACTGCAGTCTGCACTCAGGGGTGGGAGAACCAAGTCATGCTTGGCTTGTGGGAGCTTTTCTCTGAGCCAATGCTTCCAGGATGCAGGGACCCTCTGCAGGGGGTGAGGGGACATCCATGATGGCTGGGAGGCCTTTTATTTCCCGGGACACTGTGCCAGCTGCTCAAACAAAACCCAGGATGTCAGGTGGCTCCAGCCTGGCGAAGGCCCTGGGATAGAGGCCGACTCGCCCCAGTTTCCATCAAAGGCTCTTTCTCCTCTAGCCATGAGCATAAAGCCCACAATCAGGGCCACCGTGTAACTGCCCTCCCCAACTGGGTGGGTGTCCTCCAGGACAGCTGCAGAGCCCATCCAAGCCCTCTGGAGTTCTGGTTGTGCACAGCTGTGTCCCAGTCCTAGACCCACAGCTGGGCTGAGACTGTGTCCAGCAGGCCAGAGGGGGCAGAGGAAAGCAGGAGACATGTCCTATCTGGTTGGCAAAGGGTTTCCCTGCCACACTGGCATTTTCACAACTTGAGCAGATTTGGGAGGAAGCACTGCACGAGCTTGTCTCCAGGGAGACACGGGACACAGGAGGACTTATTGAGACACAGAGGGACACGAGAAGACAGAGACAGACACAGGGGAACCCAACTCTCTAGGAGTACAGCGAGACACAGGCGGCATAGGAGGACTTACTGGGACACAGACACAGGGGGACCCAAGTCTCCAGGAGTACAGGGAGACACAGGGGACACAGGAGGACTTACTGGGACACAGAGGGACATGGGAGGACACAAGAGGATCCAGGTCTCCAGGAGCATAGGGAGACACAGGGGACACACAGGTATACAACGGGACACAGAGGGACATGGGAGGACACAGGACAACACAGGGATATTGAGACTTAAGGGACACAAGAGAACAAAGGTATAGAGGGGGACACAGGTCTCTAGTGAACCCCAAATGTTGTTAGTAATACTTCTCTTGATTTAAACACAGGTGACAGGCATGGGGACAAAAGAAGACTAGGAGAGTCCTGCCCTACAGACCCCACTAAAGCCAGGTATACTCACACTTCCAGACATGAGAAACCCTCTCTGCACCTGCACAGGTGTATGGATTCGTGTATATATGTTGTATATGTGTGGACATGAATGTACAGTGTTTATGTCGTGGGCATATGTGTGTGAGTACATAGGTATGCACTGTGTGAAACTATGTCATGTGCACATTATCTGTGCACACAGTGTGCATGTATTTGCGTGCACGCTTCCTGCATTCACACTTGCTGTGCGTGTGGGTGGGTAGGTGCGTCTTTATGTGTCTGTGTACATAGTGTGTACATACAAATGCTCTCTGTGGATGTATGTAGTGTACATGGGTGGAGGGTTGTGTTCACACATGCATATATGTCTGGTACACAGTATGTATGTGTATTGTGTACGTGTCCCCTTGTATGCATATGTGTGGTGCATGTGACAGATGGATGTATCCATATGTGCTCACATGTTTGCAAACCATAGTGTACATATGTGTATATGTGCACACCTTCTCTATGCTCATACAGGCTCATGTGTCTGTGTACACAGTGTGCATGTGTGTATGCACGTGTTTGGTACGTGTGGGTGGATAGATGTGCTCACACATGTTCATGTGTCTGTGTACACAGTGTGCATGTGTGCGGTGCATGTAGGTGCTCACACATGCTCATGTGTCTGTATACAGAGTGTGCATGTGTGTATGCACGTGTGTGGTGCATGTAGGTGGATGGAGGTGCTCACACATGTTCATGTGTCTGTGTACACAGTGTGTATGTGTATATGCACGTATGTAGTGCATGTGGGTGGATAGATGTGCTCACACATGCTCATGTGTCTGTGTACACAGTGTGCATGTGTGTATGCACGTGTTTGGTGCGTGTGGGTGGATGAAGGTGCTCACACATTCTCATGTGTCTGTGTACACAGTGTGCATGTGTGTATGCACGTGTGCAGTGCGTGTGGGTCGATGGATGTGCTCACACATGCTCATGTGTGTGTACACAGTGTGCATGTGTGTAT